TTCATCTCTCAAAGTTTCCATAGATGTGCACACTATATCTATATATCCTGTTTATGCACCCAGCATATGTTGTATGTGTTTAGTACATATGCCTATAGTATAAGCTAGGTACAGTATGCACTATGTGTTCTATATGTATTGTATATAGCATTATGCTTCATGTGTTTAGAGTATAAATCACAGACTATATCATTAAAATGCTATGAACGGTGCATCCTCTAATGTATGCACTACGTTATGCAGCACATGCTGTGTTATATAGTACAAATAAGCTATAACATATCATCAAGCAAATACTGTTCTTACATAAATTTTCTCAATAACATACATTGCGTATTCTATATTATCCACGTGGATTGCGTATACACGCAAGTATTCTTTGTGAGATGATAGATGCTACATAAGACTTAATTTTATATATATGATTAAAAAAATTTAATGGCTATACTACGTAAGACACATCTGCAACAACATACATGCCATAGATGATATGTAATGTATCTTGCTACTGACATATACTAGACAAACAATGTAGTATGATGATATAATTACTGTATAGAAGGATACCAGTACAATCTCTTGTAGGAATATATGTGGTACAAATATATATTACATATACACATACCAGAATATTATAGGGTAGACATTATCTACTACACAATATAGACTACCCTGTTGTGTACAGATATAGCACCTGTTACATATATGCTACCTAAAATGCCACTATTATGTTGCAGAATATATGTTGTTACATGTCATACACTGACTATTACACAGTATATAAGTTATCTATACTAAGTGCTCTGTAACACTGTATTTGTAGTAGATTGCTGGTATATATTATCTCCATACTAGACTACACCTGTAGGGTGTAGGTTACATAGTATTTATTAAAAAGATATTATAGATTTACTTTACAACCTTTACCTGTATTGCTTAGAGTGTATAAAAATGAGTTTTATCTAAAAGACATTTTCTATGGAGTACACAGTTTATCTAATTGACTTAGTTATAGTGTGTATATATATAAAATATACACTCTACTGCCTAATATATATTAGCTACACATCACCTGGTATATAGTAAATACAGAATATATACCACATCCTGTATTACATGGTATATATCATACAATACTACATATAATGCATATCAGATATATTACATCTAATATTCTGTGTTTGTTAGAGTATATTTTATCTAAATCATGTGTATTAGATGAATTGTCTTATATATATATGTACCTATAAAAAAAGGCAGCCAGAGGTGAGGACCCAGGAAGGAGGAGCCTCCTCATATCGATGAGCTGGGGTCAAGGCTGGCACCTGGGCTGTCCCCATGCTTGGTCTGGAGCCTTCCTGGAACGAGGCACTCCCCTCCCCAGATCTCACAGCTGGGCACAACTTCCCCAGCTGCTCTCCTTGGGCTGTCTGAACCCACCTGAGGGCGGTGCCCAAGTGCTGCACCACTCATACCGGCACAGAGTCACTGGGGTACTCGCTGCTCCAAAGCTGAGCCCAAGCTCACCCAAACTGCTTTGGCTGGGGGAAAGCAGTAATCGCCCTCTCCTCAGCACCTGGCCTCTCCAATTTCCCTTTCCTGTGCAGAAGTAAACACAACCCCTCTCTGGTGCAGAGGTGATGGCACTCACAGGGCAGAGAAGGGAGTTTTAATTTCAGGATGCCCTTTGGATTGCTTCTGGGTTTGTGGGTCTTTGCTGCTTGTTTCGACTGTCTCACAATTTGATCCTTCTGTGCTCCGCTGGTCTCTCTCTGCTTTTATTTCAAAACTAATTTCCTGGTTTACTAGAGAGGGAGAGGATAAAAAAAAAAATTATAAAAAAAATTCAAGTTTAGGCTTACATTTCCCATCCAGAAGGACGTTTCTAGCAAGCAGGTGCTGGGAAGCTGGTGTGAAAAGAGTAGGAGTTGGAAATACACAGCACAGACCCAACCGGCTCCTTGGACTCTGCAAAACCCAGTGGCAGTGGCAGCACTGCTTCCCAGGCTTGCACTGAAAAATGTTAGTTAAAGCTTGCTTCATTCTTGCCTGCATTGTGCAACTTTATGAGAAGGTTGTTCTCACTGGGCTTGGCTTCCTTGCCATTTTCCATGAGCACTCATGTTGGCTAAAACACCATTTTGAAGGGGTAGGGGAGGCTTTTCTCAACTCTCCTCTGCTGGACATTTGGTTTCTTGGTGGTATCGTTTCTAGGTGGGATGTGACTAGACGCATTGTGATGGACTATACAGCCTTACAGTAAGAACGTTTAAGTTAACTGGGCACTGTTTCCCCTGCAACCTCACAACAGCCCCATAATCCTCTTGAGAACGCTTACCTGGCGTCACAAGAGACCAGCAAAGCTTTCTAGCACCGCTCTCTCCACAAGCCTGTTGAACTCGTTGAGACAAGGTTTATTTCAGCTCAGAGCACAAATACAATTGTGTGTGTGGGGGTGTGTGTGGGCCTTCTGCACATTACAGGAACTGGATTCAGAGCCGGCTTCGGGCAACATGCGTCTTCATGTGGGAGAAAATGGGAATGTGAAAATGTTCAGTGGCAAACATAAATGCTAACCCCGCTTTCAACATCAGCAAAGCACATACACATATGCTCTGCTACGAAGGAGGGGGTGTTGCTCGATAGGTTTCAACTGGAGGGAAACCTCACCTGACTCCTGCAATCTGAAGTGCTCCCCCAAGCAAGGAGCCCTGAGCTGCCACCAGATGGAGCAGCCTCCCCGAGTACCTTCTCCATCGGCTGTGTTTTCATCAGGACTCTTTTTTTTTTTTTTTTCCCCTTTTTTTTTTCTACAGGAATTCATTACGATAAATGTTTTATCAGTGAATTCCGAAGGAATTAACAGTGATTTGCCACATACTTGAAGCGGTTGCCGATAATTCTAATGGAATGAGAAATTAGGGTATTTAAATGTCTCCTGACACTTTTATTTCAGAATAAAAAAATAAAAAAAAAAATATAGCCCAACCTAACCCCCCAAGACTAATTAAAATCCCAAAGCAGAATTTTCACCTTACAAGATAGATCAAGGTCATAAATACCCCTTTAGAAGCTTCTGTGCAAGAGGAGAGGAGGGTGAGGAATCAAAGCCAATTTAAAGCATGCACAGAGTCCTCTGAGGAGTGGCAGGTTCACAAGGAAATCCTGAAAGACAACCCTCTGTCTCTGGGAGAATCTTTCTAAGAAGGCTGAGCAGGAAAAATAGTAACTAGTCCTCTGTTTCTGCAGCCTTGGAGTGATCTCTGATGTTATCAGCTCAGCAAAAGACTTCCCCAGGCACAAACCTACTACTTTTCCAAGCAAGATCTGTAAGGGGAGGTGTCAATCTGGCCAGCAGCAACAGGAGTATAATTAAGAATAGTTTATTGTTCATCTCATCCTAGCAGATTCACTTGCTCACTAATCCACATCATCTGGACAAACATTCATCGCTGCAATGGTCAGAGCAGCTTCAAACACGTTGCCTTCTTCATACTCCAAAATCACGGAGAGTTTCCTCTTGACCCTGTGCTACTTAAAAAAGGTGGGATGGTCAGTACTTGCTCTTAGATGAGATATGAATTTATGTTTCTCCTTCTAAACATATTTACCTGCCATAAACAAAAATCTTCCCTTGCAGCAGAAACAGGCTACAGCATGGGGAAAGCAGGCACATCCTTCTAGGATGTAGAGATCTTGAGGTACAGTGAAAACAGAGTTCTTGACAAACTGAATTTGATAAGATGCTGCGTTACAGCTATTGCTGCTGTTTCTCGGGCTAACTCACTGATACTAAGACCACACATGACAGTTGCGTCCTGCATCCAGCAAAAAGGCAGGTGTTCCCCACTGCCACACGTCGCCCGTACTTCATCCTCTTCCATTTGGAAGGCAAGGAAAGGTCAAATTTCAGAGAAGGAATCCATAGCTCAGAGAGCTTTGAACACGGAGCCAGCTCCTTAACTGTGGTTATCAACAGTTAAATCCTTGGCCTTGGATAAGAAGAGTAAAGCAGGGTTGGTACAAGTGTTTTCATCTATATCGGTGCCATGGAAAGAAAAAAGCCACCTTCAGAGTTTTTGCAGTACCTTCTACCCATTCAGTCTTGAAACAGCGATGGCAGGAAGGGCAGATAACATCTAGTGGACACCGCATGGTCTCTATTCTACCTGTAGATTGCCTATATCTGAGAGTATTCTTTGACCGATGATAGATGCTGGGGATTTAGTACTAGTACAACTCATGAGACAGGTTTTGCAACATTTCTGGTGCAGGGATGGGACCAACCAAGCGACTTTTACCCTTCCGAGCTGCAAAGCTCCCACTCCCGCCTTTCGCTGATGCTGTCCAGAAATCCTTCTGCAGTATCCCGTTTCTCACAAGACTCATCAAATTAACTAATTCAAGCCATCAAGCGAACGGTAACTGTAAACGAGGACCCATCTGCGTATGCTGATGGCTGCATGTCCAAACTGAAACACTGATAAATGGAATGACTGCTACACCATCAGCATAGTTAGGAGGGAATAACCATAAGTGGCATCACCTCGTCTTCAGGAGAAGCTTTATTAACGTTTTGCTTTAACAGACATCGCAGTATAAAGGCATCGGTTCTTTAAATTTTCCAACGCATGGCACAGACAAAAGGAAAAATAACAGCCTTGGAGGCAAATTCAGCAAGTAAATGACAGTAACAGAAGAGGCATGTGTTAACCAATATAGCTGTTAGACCATCTATTAGAAGACATTTAGCAAGCAACAGTCTATATTTCTTTGTATTGAAGTAGAAACATATTTTTGGATCGAGAAAATTACATTTTTTAATTTTTCATTTTTATTTTTTTTAACTTTCCTTTATATCACAAATGTCAGGGTAAGGCAAATTCTGGATGAATCATATGATAAAAACCCCTATTCCCCGAGAAAATAGATCCACATACTCTGTTAAGTTTGTCATTTCAAAAGCAAAGCTGGCACATGCACTGCATATAGAGAAAAGGTTTTTTTAAAATATTTTTATTTAAGTGCCTAAAGCAGAACAGTGTTAATTCACAGAGAGGCTTTCTCAGTGCTTTATAGAAAGATTGACAATTAGCTGCAGCGAATGTGTGACCCATTATTACAGATTGTGTCTCGAACATCCCCTTTGGATGTCTGCATGGAAGGAAACCCATTTGTCATTGGAGCAGTCACCAGCCCGAGGAGTATCGTGCCTAATAGTAGGGATGAGTGTTTCAGACATGAGAGGAACAACGACCAAGCAGAGCCTGTTACTTTGTATGCAAGCATCAGCATCAAAGAGCTGCTATTCCCTTTACGCCACCTACTGCAAACACATTTCGGGTTTAAACCAAAATCCTTGACATAAATCCCTGTGGGGTGATTCTTGCTCTGATGCTTGCTCTTTTACAAAACCAGCTCCCTGCATTTCTGGAATGGCAGACTGCACTGAGGAGCATGGGTCCAGCCTTGACTACTAACTCATCTGAAGAACTCATGCTGCCAAACTATACTCTATGACTAGTGAAAAAACCCAACAACTCAAATCAAAACACACCTGAAGATAGATAGATACAGATGTGGCTACAAATTGTCCTGTAAGGACTTAATCGACTGCTATGTTTCCTTGCTTTACTCTTCCTACCTGGGCTTCACGCTTTGCTGCTGCATCCTTGGGCAAATGGTTCATGGTTTCAAAGACTCGCTGCTGTTTGAGGACCAAGGCTAAATGAAAAGTGCAATGAAATTACTGTCCAGGGTTAGAGAGTGTTTAATTTGCAGTTTATTTTTATTTTTAAACTCTCGGTCAGTCTCAATGAGGAGTTTAAGGAGCCTCCCTTTGGCTCCCTCGCTAAAACCAAGGTGGGTAATAGCGAGAGGGACACCAGGTAAGGAGCTAATGACAGCCTACAGCTCTGTTAAGGTTTCCCATAGGTGAGCATGATGGAAACAAGAGCAGAGGGGACTGGATACTCCCCTGACTGGAGTTATCACAGCTCTGCAGAGCTCAGTTCACCCCTACTCACAGGTAGCCCTGGCTACCTCGGATCTCCTCGACATCTCGCACAGCTTAAAGTCGAGCTCCCGGCCCTGTGGGGCTGGTTTCCTCTTACCTAGATGGAGGGGGCTCTACAATCCTGGTCTTTTTACAGTGATCGCACAAAAGGGGAACTGAGAGACACCCAATGTATTTATTCCCCTTCCTCCCAAGGTATTTATCCACTCCTATTATGACAGGCTGTTTCAATCAAAATCACCTGGTATGGAAAATGAACAGAAGCATAGGGGATGTGCACCATGTAGAGGTACTACCCGCAAGGCCTCCCACTGCAAAACTGCAATTGGCTAGAATCAAGGTGAAGGAACAGCAGGGGAAAAAAAAAAAACAACACAAAAACATGTCCCAAAAGACACGTTCTGTCAAGCATGACCACAGGGATGGGAAAGAAAAGCAGCAGGGACACCTCAAAGGAAATGAGTCCTGTCGAGGGTTCTCTGAGGAGAAACCAACTGGTTTCTAGCAAATTTAGGTAAATTTAGCAATATTATAAACCCAATTCATAGGCTTACGTCAGCTCATTTAATCCTTCTGCAGTCAATCCAGTTCAGAGTTATGCATCCACCAATCTCCAGGACAAATGGGTGACAAAGCAGCTCCTCGAGATCTTCGGTGCTAGTGTCACCTGGGTTAAAGCACCACAGGGCCAGCACACAGAATACTCTTCTGACCCCCCCACAAGCAAACATGCTGGAGCTGCAAATAGGGAGACAGGGGGCTGCCTTTCTAGGGACTGTACTCTCTGGGTGAAATCTGGAACTTTTCTTGTTTTCCTTTCTAATCCTTGTTTGTCCTGACACCCTTTCAAATTAACCTGCAGCTGATGGCAGCCACCAACTGCCGTAGCCAGTGCTATAGGTGTGTTAGGGCCATATTTGACTTGCTGTTACACCAGCAGACCATTTATAACCAAACCTACTCTAGCTGGGATAAACCCAGATCACAGGAGGATAAAGATATATTTTACCTAGTTTTTTACTTTTTTTTTTTTTTTACCCTCTCTTTTTTTGGGGGGGCCGGCTAGTAAACAACTATTTTGGGATTCATGCATATTTGGGGGAAAAAAAAAACACCCGAACAGAATCAATTGCTTTGCTTGAAATGATCAATTACCAGCAGCTTTTAAAAATACAGTTTGTAGCACATTACATCCTGGACACAGGCTGTGTGCTCTTCCATCAAGTGTATTGTCTATCAGTTTCGGTTACAGCATGGTTGGGAAATGTATGTGAAACCCTTTTGTTCCTTTTCTAAAAATTTCATTGCAGCATTTGCTAGCAGAACAATTGACATATGGTGAGACATTCTTATCCAAATAACTGTTAATTGCTTTTTTTTAAAAATTAAAAAAAAATCATGCATATGCAGTAGAAAATATAATGAGGGCTCACACAAGATACGGTGTGAAGTTGTTAAAGCCAGGAGCCATATTTAAAGATGCCTTGAATGCAGAGTGTCTGTTATCCTCTGTCACTCGCAGGCTTGAGGAAGTATCTGTTGCCTACCCACACCCGAAGGTCATACTTACGGCACTGATTTTGAGGTGCACAGAGCTAACTGGAAAGGAGCAGGACTGATTTGGGGTGCCGGCTGTTCAAGGCTACAGGTGACATTCATGTGTAGGACCCACAGAAGGACAGGGCGCAGTGTAGGCTTGTCATGTTTTAGCTTTCCCATGCTAAAGAGGAAAGCAAAGGGCAGAGCCATGGGCGATCCCAAGGCACTGTGATGATAGAGTTAATGTGAGAACTCTGCTTCCAGCATGGACTCAAGGGAATCCGGCCAGCGCCTCTTCTAGCAGCCAGGGATCTGGCACCATGGGTGCCAACAGGAGCTGCCGATAGACAAGCCTGGAGGTTGGGAACGTGCAGGGCTGTCTCTCAATACTTCTGAGATTTGGGAGCATCTAGTCTTTAAAATCCCTAGCACAAGGAGGGCAGCTGTTTATCAGTGTGTGCGGATTATAATCCTTTGTGGCAGTTCATGTTCTCAAAGAAAATCTCCACTTATATCCTAGGGAACAGCTTAAAAAAAAAAAAAAAGCTGGGGGTGGGGTGGGGCAGGAGATAAACTGGCTCCCACAGGTTGCCTGCAGACTGTACCATAACTGGGAACAAAGATAAAGATGCTAGAAAAGGGGTGGGCCTGGAAATAGATTACTGATGCAGTATGATGCAGGAGGAAAAGCGACCCAATATAAGACAGGGACTCACTCGCAGTTCAGAAGAAACTGTTGTAATTGCAGGGATAATTGCAAAACATTGTTAGAACTGAGAAGTTAATGTTTCTTTCCAACAGGCTTACAGAACGAAACGCAATGAAGAACAAAGAGAAATTAAAGCAAAGAGTCATTTCCCCAAAGCTCCCTCCCTCCCAACCCACGGAGCATCTCTGCGTGCTCTTTTCTGCCAAGAATGATGCCCTAAGATGTCAGCGCCTGCCCATTGGGTTTCCTCGGGTCTCTCCTCTCCTGCATCCTTCCTTCATCGCAGCGGGGGAGAGGGGAAAAAAAAAAGAAAGAAAAAGAAAAAAAAGGCAAAGTTTCAAATGTCTGCACAGAACCCAGGACTCATCTTTCTAGCACAGATGCGTAGAGTTTCTCTTTCCATCACACGTGCAGCACGTGTATGTGTCACTCGGTTTATATATAACAGCCACTATTATCTCTATAGCAAATTGACTGTGCTCATTAGGGTTTCTTAAGTTTTCCATAGCACTATGCTACCTAGCTTGATATCAGAGGTCCCTAGCTCTGGTGGATGTTGCAGTGCTAGAACAAAGAAAGTATATTAAAAACAACACATAAACATACTAAACATAATAGGCAAAGGGATCTCCTGGGCTCTGAAAGACCCTAGCAAGACCCTTTGAAGTTTAACAGGCTGATCAATCCTCCTTGGGGACCTGCTCTCTGCAATGAAAACAGCAGCAGCAGGGTCGGGAAGACTGCGATAGAGAGCTGCAAAGGATTCAATGCCTGCTTCTAATCCCATGCCTACCATTAAAATGCTGGGCAAGACACGGTGCGCACTGGCTCGGGCCCCTTTGCTTCAGGAAGGTGCCAGCAGAGACAGGTCTTGCAGTGGAATTGAGAAAATTCTTTAATTGATTGCTAGCTGCTGTATTATTCCAAATGTATGCCCAAAATTCACAGATACTCATTTCCATGGGAAAATGCAGCATGAACACAGACTTTGTACAGGCTGTGTGAAAGCAGTAATAATCGTCAGATAGATTTTTTTTTTTTAATTGAGGAAGGGTATTAACCCTTCCATGTATTTTTAACAGCAAGGATTTCATTAGTTCCTCTTCCTTTTTTTTGATTGAACAGAACATACAACGAGAAGCTAGAGGAGGAGGGAAGAGTTGTGGAAGCCGCATTTTAATGATGAGGGCACCTTCTAGTTTTACTTCAATACTTTTTACCAGGGATGCCATCAGGCTTATTTCTCACTCCAGCAATACAGCAGCACATTGTCTATATGCTGACAAGGACAAAGGGCTACGCTCAGTAACAAGACCTTGTATTTTAAATCTCTGCGATACAGCTGCTGCTGTTGTAATGCCACTATATTTGGTCTTGAGCTGCATGAAATCCCGTTACAAACACAAATAACGCATCTTGCTGTATATGACATTGGCATCTCATGATAACCCCACATCAAAGGATGAGGTGAGCATTAACACTTGAAAACTACTTTTGAGGGAGAAATGGCAACTGCTTCTTGCAATTGGGGATGAGCCTCCGACTTCTGTCTTCCTCCCAAATTATTCATTTTTATCTAGGGGCGAGGCTGGTTATGCGTATGACAAACTCCACCACAACAACCACTACTGCATGCTCTGCCATAGCACTATCCGTTAGCATACAAATCCACAAAAGCTCCAAAAGATGGCAGAGCTCCAAAAGGCAGCTTGCTGACTTTGCCTTGTTTTCCAGTGGTATTGCTACAAATGACGTTAGACATTGGAGAGCCAAGGGCAATAAACCCCTCGTGACATGAACCTGTTGTTCCCAGAATACAGATTGTATGGAACTGAGCTCGGTTCCAACCGGTATAAATTGCCTGTCATTTTCCTAAGCAATGCCAAAAATTGTTCACTCGGTTACTCTTCTGCTCCTTATCTCAGTGCTGTCTTGCCTTCTGATGATCTCAGACAGTGCACTGTCTAAATCAGTTACAGTTGCAGACTGTTACTGTAATATTTACTTGACAAATCAAGTCTACTGGATATTTTCATTTTTTGGTGTAATATGGGCCATATTAGACAAGTTCTTTTTCCTTTGTATTCTGTCTTCCTCTTTTATGGTAAATTCTATCTTTAATTAAGGTAAGTTCTGAAGCAAGTTTTCAAACAGAAACTGAGTGGAAAAAGTGGAGGAAAAGATAGCTATAAAGGTTTTACCTGTTACTTAAGCTTCCCGCTCTGTTTCCGTAGGATCACTTATACTTTCAACTTGACTATTCATTTCAGCTGAAAACAAAACGAGAGAGTCATCAAATTCTATTCATGATACTTATTAAGTTTATCACATCGAGTAATAACCGCTTCTACCCCGAAGGGGACATTTATCGCATTAAAAACTCTATGCCATAAATCTGCAAAAAGCTCTCCTAGGCCAGCCATCCTAACCTGTGGTTCCATGGAAACCCCACAAGCAGCCCTGCCAGGGTGTAGGCTTTAGCATCATTAGAAATGCAAGCCTCTGGATCTAGAATTTCCCTTTGGTTTGCATCCACCAATTTGACTTTGGCACTCAACTGAGGTGCCCAGCTCAAGAGCTCAAGGACCCTCCTCTGTCTCTGTAGGCCACAGGCAGAGATACAGGTATCTCCAAAGGGAGATTCAGAGGTTTCGCTGGGCTAAGTGGTCTTGATCCTGTGATTCAAACATCCTCAGGCTTCTGACAAAGTCCCTGGCAGGATCTGGGGCTGAGCTATGGGTCAAACACAGATTTATCTCCAATTACAGAGACACTGACGCTGCCTCCAGATTGCTGGAGGTGAGTATTCAGGGTAACATCACTATACTCCTACACAGACTAATTCGCTCATGTACTATCCATTTACAAAACCAATCTTTCATATTTTTTCATTTAAAATTACTGGAAAATTAGAAATCATTTAAATATAAGGCTTAAACGCATTTCAGCGTGACTTGTCAAAAATACCATCTAAATCATGGCAGGTGTGATAGGTCCTATCTAGGCAAAATATAAAAGGGTGACTTCAGCACATGTTGGGCTTCTAGAGGGTTTTCTGCGAGAGAATGGATATGTGAGCAATCCTGGGTGAGAACAAGACTGATAAGAGCCTCAGCTGAGCAAGAATGCGATAAGGATGTGAGCCTGAATGAGGGGGGAGAAACTCGATGAGACAAACAGCCCCTGGAAGGGGTTGGGACGGAAGAGGAAGTTACCCAAGGCAGGAGGCCTGGCAAGGCTGATGTGGCACTTTTTATCCAATCATAAGAAGGTTTAAAGCGTGGGCTAAGTTAACTGTCCAGTCTTGAGGACTTGTACTGCATGTTACTCACATGTGCGGGAGAACATTATAAAAGGGATTTCTTAGTTGTAATAAACGGGCATTGCTTGATCACATTGGTTGTGTGCGTGCTCAGCTCTCCTGCAACCACATGCTTTCTTAAGATTAGTATTTGTTCTGCAATGAATCTGAATGGAGCCATTTCTGTTAAGACTCTTTTTCTTTCTTTAACCTTGCTTTATGTTGTGTTATCAATTGCAGATTACGAGTCATTTCATGCAGGTGATGGGGGAAAAACCTCAAACCTGAATGGGAGATTTGGAAACTAAAGGGAAATGGGAGAGAGGAGGGGAAAAAAGCCAAAAATCAATAACTATGCTACTTCCAGTCAGGCAGTATGATCTCTTTCTGAGTCAATATTGTGTCGATACACCTGTTAGGGTTTTGATGAATTATTTGTAAATTATTCATTATCTATATGCAGAACAGATACTGTAATGGCTTCCTTGATGTATACAATGAATAAGAAGAAAAGTATCTGTGCTCCTGATTACGGAGCTCTGATGTACATCACATTTAGTGATGTTGTGTTCTTTACACACATATGCATAGCGAAGACAGGATGCTTAATAAAAAACAAAAAAGGAAGGCTGCTGTGTGCTGACAACAGCAGCCTTTCTCAGCCTTATTATGCTGGCCAGTTTCAGTGGCTGGGTTTTCTGACTATACCATAATGCTTCGCTCACGTTTTACAGAGATCTGCAAAACTAAAGCTTTATTTGAAAGCTGAGGTTAGGCTCCATCAGCATCCCAGATGAATATGCCTCCTTCCACTTCCTTTTTTTATGGCTACGAGCAGCTGACCCCTGTCCATCACACTGACAGCACGTCACACAGAGGAGGTCAATTTGCAAATGACCTGAGAATACTTTAAAGGCAATGTGAAAGCATGGGGGAGCCCCGGAGGAGGTGTGGGACCTGGAGCCCCTGCCAGCAGAGAAGCAAGAGGAATTACTGAATCCCGCTGTTTTGCAGTGGAAATGGCAGCCAGGCATCCCGCATCACCGGCGCAAAAAGCATCAGCTAAGGCACCGGCAGCTTCCACTGTTAATTTTTTTCCTATGTGTTTGTGACTAAGCTCAGCAATTCATGCTTTAACGCTGGTAGGGACAGGACTAACTGAAGGATAAGCTTCTGCAGACCGCTGGGTGAACCCCAACAACTGATGTCACTACGAGGCCACCTACACAATCCTCTATATTTAGCCAGAGAATAACAGCAGCAACGCACCTACCGCAAGAGCAGATGGAAAAGCTGCCACCAGGTACGGCGGGGATGTGACTCACTGCCCTAGCTGCCTCCCAGCATGAGTTAGTGTCAGAACGACATCATTAGCCCTGGGCACGCCACATCCAATCGCATCACAAGCAAACCTGACCTTCTCCCCACTAAACAATGTTTTTGGAGATGTTAAAACTGCTAACTTACATTACTGGCCATTTTGAACCTACTGTGATACGCTACAACAGCCAGCAGCTCAGAGAAGCACCTGAAGTTCAAGAAGGGTGCACACCTCCTAAATTCAGTTTTACCTGCTCCCTCTTCTGCAGCTTTACACAGAAGAGGGATTTTTTTCCTGGCTTTTTATGCCAGAAACATACATTTTTGTGACATGGAAATGAACATTTCTCTGCACTCTCCCTGTGTGTTTTTCCTTAAATTTTGGCCTGCTAGGGAGGACGTGTCTACACTCCTCTCTCAATCTGTGAGCTGTTTAGCAGCTCTCAAATGATGACCAGGGAAGGATTTCCTCCCAAAAGGAAGTGAGTTCCCTGCAAGAGGAGAAGAATTAACCCAGCACGCAGTTCACATCTGTAAAAGTGCTGCAGTTGCTGCTGAGCCGGTGGATGTGCCTCGGCAGCCAGGCATCCCGCCTCTCCCCTACAAGAAAGCTATGTGCTTAAAGGTCAGCTAGCCAGGAGTCACGGTGCAGCATCTAAGTAGAGAAGACAGGCAAACGGGAGACTGGAAAACCAAGTTTAGAGTTGTCTGTGAGAGAGCGAGCGCATTTCCCCACTCCCGCATATTATGCTGTAGATGCAGATGGCAGATGACACCAAAATATTACCATCTTGATTTAAAGAGGAGCTCGGTCAGACTCTCACTCACAAAGTTAACCTATTTCTGCAGCCACTTTCTAAATATTGTTTCCCCCTTGCATCCACATAACTTGGCTACAGCACATCAGCTATAACTCCAGACTGCCTAGAAAGAAAACTATCTATCTTGAATTCAACCTGCTGTGCAGTGATGGAACATGTGCACCTGTTTACTTGGTAGTTACTTGCTTCTTGGATATTACATCAATACCATAAAAAGCATGAGAGTGTTACTGTTGATATCTTCCTTTTGTATTGCTTTGGTGGATGGCATGAAGGTCAGCTTGCTGATGGCGCATTCAAGAGCCTGCAAAAGCTTATAAAAAATCCAGAAATTTCAGGTTTGACACTCCCTTCATCTTTTTCTTTTCTCCTATTGAGTCAGTAAGTCAGGACGCAGCTTTCCACAGGCTTGAAATAAAAAAGGCGAATGAGTAACTCCATTATGAAAGGAGTGAAAAGTTTGATCCTCCTAATACCAGATGGAAACTAACATCTACCTTAGTAATCTTTAAAGCTTTGGTGACGTAACTGAAAAAAAAAAGAAGAATAAAAAAAGGCTGCCAGGAGGGAAACACCATCTAGGAAACCAATCACCAGAAGTAGGGTTTGTCATCATTTAAAGATCACCAAATCTGTCCTGGGTATAAGAAATTTAATATCCAGGAGTCTTTGCTTTGGTGGCCGATCAAGATTGCCAGCAGCAACCTGTATCTCTGTATTCAGGCTTATGTGCACACCCTCTGACACCTTTCCTGATGGAGAATCACGCCCAGCTTTCAAATAATAATAATCTCTAAAATATATCACTATTACTGCCTTGGCCACTAGATGAACCAATATCAAGATCCACCCAAGCTGCCTGAACTCTCTGCATTTCTAAGGCACTTTTTGTTGTGACATGGTACATGAAATTAAAACACAAGAGCCGGGCTGCCAAGGGGTACCTGGTGATATATGCTTGTGCTTTCAGCTGTGAAGTGATGAGCTCTCCTGGGGAGGAAGGAAGGGGACCAGAGAAAAATAGGCAATTTACATAAAAATTACTGTCAAAAGGAACCTTCTTTTTTTTTTTTTTTTTTTAAATCTCAACTAGTACACAATATATTTAAATTTTTTAGGGCTTTTCTTCAGCAAATCTTAACCCTTCAGATAAAACAGAGCATGCAGAGTTTGATCCTTCCTCTCTTCTGATTTTTTTAAGCACATAATATATGTCCACAAGAAAAAACACCCTGTAATATAATCCCAATAGCAACTTAAGTTGTAGAGAAGTGAACACTTTCCCAAGCAGCAGAGTAGTTTTCTGCAGCCTTAGCAAACACCCTTTACCTGTCCTTTCATATAACTTAGAAAGTTCACAGAAAAAGGAAGTTACAAGATGAATTTTAGGTAGAAGACCTTAAAAGATAAGCAAGATTTGAAACAAAGAAACCTATCAAGATCATAATTTCAGAGGCTGTCAGCTGATCCTGCTGTGCTGTGGCATACGTTACAAGAGCTATACAATTGCTTTTCTTTCCAGTGGGAAATCCATTAAGATATTATTTTTGTAAATTTGGATTTGTTTTCACTAAGTAGCCCAGATCATTCCACAGATATGAAATTCAAATATTTTAACGTGACTATGACTTTTTTGTTTGTTTGTTCAGAGAATGAGGACAGAAAGCTGGTTTGGCTTTATTCTGCACACTTACTAGTAATAGCATAATCTCTAGTATTTTTAAAAAAAGAAAATCCATTATGCACACTTTCTTTTCCCATGCTTGCAAAAACTTCCCTACAGGCCAGTATCTAAATCAGCCACTGATTCAGATGCTGCAGCACAACTTGACATCAGAGAAAGGAAATCAGCATTGGATTCTTTGTGTAACTAATATCAAAAAGAATATAATTGTTTTGTCTTTGAGATGTAAAAAAGTATGCCCTGAATTTATATTATGTCAGTGCTGAAGAGATTAAAGGAAGAGTTAAAAGTCAGCATTTGCTACAGAGAGGAGTCCACAATGATAAAACGAGGACTGGAATCCCAATCCCAAACCCAATGCCATTTGGAGCAGTAAAGAGAAGCCTTTGTGTAAAAACCATGAAAACTCTTTATGTAGCTCTGTTATGCATGTGGAGCTTGAGCCTTTGGTACTCCACCCCTGCCAGGACTTTGCCAGACAGCTGGGTCATCTGCTCACTGAGGTCAATGTCAAAAAAATTTCATTGCCAAGTTGGGAGATTTGGGTTGATAATGTCCACAAACCTGACTGGAACTGCTGTTGGGTCACCAAATTGTGATAGTTTTATCACAGTTAGCAAATGTCTCAATTAGTAAATATTAGTAAATAGTATATGTCCTAGGGAGACACCTTCCATCTGCTACTAAACTGAGCTACACATGGACTATGAAGGAGGAGGAGGAGGAAGGGAAATCAGATCTGAGCTAGGAGGGGGCCAACATATGAGTTTAGAGCAGTTATACATATAACATTTGCCCCAGGATGGAGCCAAGCACTAGCACAGAAATTTTCAGAAGTATCTTCTGTGTGAGACCACACACATCTTGGCCAACTCAATATCCAGACCAAAATTACAGTGGGCCTAAAATATTGTTTAGGTAACAGGCAGGTGGATTGAACATAGCTATTGAACACATAAGCCTAGTCAACTAGATAAGCAGGGTTATGGCACTGAAAGGCATTTCCACCAGACTTCCAAGACAGTGAAGGTTGTGTAAACTCTTAAGAAGACTCAGTTGAGGAGATTATAAATGTAACTCCTACTGTGGGGGGGAAGCATACACACAAACCCCAGAAAGGCTTGCTATGGATCCACTTCAGTACAATTTAAATTTTAGAACAACATACCATCCTTATTTGAAACATCTGCTGCTTCACATGCGAGGTCAACTTTCATAGGCTCCACAGAAGTTTCCTCTTTCCCTTGCATCCCTATAAGACAAGCCAAACAAGGAGAAAAATCAATACATACAGTACTTGAATAATGTGTAATTCTCAGACTCCAGATACCTGTTTTTCTTCTTTTTCTTCTGGCACGCTCTTACCTTTATAGACTCTACTGCTGTATAGTGGCAGCCATTAGAGAAAAGGGCAGAGGATATAGGGGGAGGAACATGGTTTGAAAATAATTGCTTGAATATTTGTAGCGATCTGCACTCTTTCCTAACTGGGATTGTTAAAGCCACATCATGGTGTGTGCTTCTGCCTCCCTGCCATTCTTTTCTCATCATTTTTGAAGAATCTTTTCTGCTCATAAAATGCAATGTATGATGGAGACCTACTCACACTTACGAAGTTTCTCTAGCTAGCAGAATAAAAATAGATAAAGTGAGAGTTCAAATATACTGGGTAGTCAGACACAAACTAGTATTTGAATTTAGGAAAATGCATTTTATCGCTGTAACTCAACATTTTTATCTCTTCTGCCTCAGGCTTGTCTGGAAGCTTAGATTCAATCTCCTAACAATATTTGAAATGGAAAAAAAAAAAGTGGTTTTGCTGTTTTGTATACAGTTCTACTATTCTTCCATTTAGAGTGCCGAGAAGCCAATTTTTAGTTAATTCCCATCATGCTACTTCTCTACTTTTGTGGCTGCTATAAAGTCTGTTGCAGCTATCCTGTGGTAGAACTACAGGACATCAAGCTATTGGTTGCTAAGCGATCCAGACGTTTGGGTGGTTATGAGACAGCAAAGTGTAGCAAGGATCAAGATATCTCAAAAATGGTTTACTCTTAAGCTGAGATCATTTACCTCTTCAGCAACAGAGATTAAACATTCACAGTCCCACAAACACCTCCCTTCCCTTTCCGTGGAAGTCTAGAGTAGATTTTTTTTTTAATGCACTTTAGTGCACTACAGATATTTTGTCCATAAACATGTATCTACCACTGAAGTTTGCAGCCAGTTTCCCTTCTAATCATATCTGCAAGCCAACACATTGTAATTCTCACAGGCAATTTCCAGCGCACTACCTACAGTCCTACCAAACATTGAAATGCTAAAAAAAAGGACCCAGCACATCAGAAACCAACAAGAAATAGCCACTGGAAATCTCAATTAGCCATCTCAGCGAGCATGGGGGAAGTCGTGATGGATGAATATACAGTGATGAAGATGTCACCCATCATTTTAATGGGTTTTACTTTTACTGTAGAAATCCTTCAGTGATTCGTTGTAGCAGCAGTTCCACCTCTTCCTCACTGATTTAAAATCCTTTCCCCATACAAACATACAGAATGCCTGTAAACATCTGGGACTGTGAACCCCATATGTCAGCGAATGCCTGAGATGGCCACTTTGCAGGTGCGTCAAATTCCTGACGCTTCCCCAGGGAATTCCGGAGAGTGAGCGTGGTTTTCTCCTGAGGTTTCTCATGCACCAACAGGCCTAAGCTTTCCCAGCACTCGCCCATGACTGTTTTCAGCTCACACAAAGGAAAAACCCAGGTCACCCCACCACAGAAGCCTGTGCATATGGCGGGAACTTGTCAAGTATGAGGCTGAGAAGGTATGTTCGAAATCCCTGTGTGAATTCTCCTAGCAATTATCAATATTTGGGTGACTATGAAAACACTGATTAATCAAGGAACATACACTGAAATTCAGGTTGTGCTACATTTTGATTATCTGGGGGAAGCATCACTACAGAAAGTGAAGTTTTGGAAAATAAACTGTCCCATCACGAGTGCAGCCTCCAGCAGACGCAGCCCTTCCTACCAAGACACTCAGATGTCTGATGCAGGGATCGGGAACCCTGCTAAACACCAATACACTCCGACGGGCAGTTGATGCCTATGAATCTGACTTTGCCTCATCTAAGACACTATTAACCAAATAAAGCAGATATGGTATGACAGGTTACATCTTGACTCCCAGTTCCTCTAACAGCTAGAGATACCGAGTTGCTGTCCTGTTGTCAGCTCCTGAAGGCTCCCGTGTGAAGTTCCCAGGCCCTATCCTAAGATCTCCTATTAACTAGCTGGGGTGCCTGGCTTCACCACTCTGCCAAAAGTCTTCTCGCTTGCAATTGCAGAAATCTCTCATGCAACTGACAGGTGCAAAGGACTACTGGCACGGTGCTAGGTGAAGACAGAACCTAATTACAGAGAAGACCTTTTGTGCACGTGCATGCGTGCATGTGCACACATGCTAATTAGGGCTGCTGTTACAGGGATGAAAGCAGAAGGCGTCGAGGGCCCTCAATACCAAAAGCCACAAGTTCACCTCTTAGGGTGGTGAAATGCTGGGGTTTCAACCCCAAGCCCCAAATTACGGTTGACATATGGGTGATTCCCACAGCCCTCCACAAAGGGGTGATGAGTTTGCCTTTAGGCTTCCCTCCAGGGTGCGGCCAGCCTGGCAGGGAGAGCCATTGGGTAAATGAGCCCCAGGTGTCCTGCATTAAGTAAGCAAAGGTCAGGTGTCCCACTCAGGGGTACGAGCTGGGACTGATTGCAGGCAGGGGCAGTGTCTGTCTGTGAGGTGGATGGACTTTGTCGAGTTTCCTGTTGGGGAAGGACCTCCTGCCTCCCTGGAACTGGGCTCCAGTCAGCTCTGGCTTTTGTAAATGTGGGCTGTGTAGAGATGTGGTGTGTGGCTTTCCTTGGTCTTATGTATTTGGCTGGTTGACCTGGTTGTCTCCCATCTCTTCTTTGAGAGACTGCAGTTCACAATTTATTCCACCCATTGTTGGTTGTGCGGTGTCATTGTTGGGGTCATTGGGATTGATGTCGATTATGTATAACCTGATTGACTTGTTTGTACTCCCAACGCTCACTCAGATACTGACCCTTTTGTGTCAAATACAATCTGGTTACTGTTCATCTTTATGCTGGCTGTGTCCTTTATGCTAGGCCTGATATTTGGCGAAACAGGAGAGCAGTCCTAGAGAGAGGCTGGAAGGAGTAGCAGCAGCAAATCTGCAGAATTACTTTTTGAGGGGTGTAGGGCCATAAACACTGTCAGAAGAGCACTAATGCATGTTCTGCCTTTTCACCTTCTTTCTAAGTCTGAATAATTGATTCCCCATCCCTTCTACAAGGGGATTATTGCTGTATTGGGTTTTTTTATAGTATATGTTGATTGTTAGATATTGTCAGCAAGAAAATGATAGTGAGAAACAACATTCAGGGACAAGCAAGGCAGCAGATATTTAAAACCGTAACAAAGCCAAGCACCACAGAAAACCTTGGCAGGAGGCTTGCACATTATATTGTCCAATTTTGGGGAAGACTTTCAAACTTGGTTAATATAAATCTTAATTTCTTGCCTGGCTATTTTTGCATGTGGGGGACAGGAACATTCAGTATACTGCCATGCATGTGGAAAGGTTATTATCCAAAAAGCTTCTTCCCTGCCACGCAGTAAAACCGAGTGCTACACAGAAATGAGCCCATTTCACCTAGACAGCAGAACTCGATCAATATCAGAACTGCCTTGATAACCAATTTATTCTAGAGGCCTCCCCTCACCCCCTTGTTTTGATTGCTTCAGGTTAGAGCACAAACAAGCACGGAATTTCGGGTCTCCAGGCAGGAGCAGAGACTTACCGAAGGGGAGAGAGCCTGGGAGATACCACTTTCCATTTCAATTACCATTTCCAATTGCACTCCTGACAGAGCTTGTTACCTGAATCCTGGTTACACAACCTGCCTAGCACTAAGCGACAACAGGCTCCTGGCATAGGTAAGGATGGCTTCCAGCCTTTTGAAATGCACAAGACAAGTATACACCAGGAAGATATAAATCTCTGTACTGCTATTTCATCTTTTTCTCTCCTTCACAGTCACAATCTGCCAATAGTTCCACGTGATTACAGCTAACACTGTTCTTTCTCTGGAGAAACATGGTTCCAGATTCACATACAATTCACAAGATTAAGATGTGGTTGTTGTTGGTACATTAGCATCAATTTTTAAAGTGCCCAAGTACAGAGGTCAGACATCTATTCTCTGCATCCCTGATAAATTCAAGTAAGTAAAAAGTGTAACCTTCCTCCTCGTCTTCCCTGTGCACAAGGTTTACATCTATTTCAAGTGATAAAAACAGGCAACTATGTAGGCTTAGAAGCTGTAACACAAAACAATCCATAAAACTCATTTTTACCTGATCATCAGCAAGGTTTTTCTGTGTACTGAAATGTGCCTTTGTAATCAGGAGAGAGGCATGTTTCTCTCCCAGATAATTCAAAGCAAAATCTGAACATAGCCCCCTAGAATTGATGAATCATTCCTGGGAGGCACCTGAACTGGGTTTCTGCTTTGAGCTGCCTGCCTTAAGGGAGATTATTTCTCTTTGCTGACTAGTGAGGGAACCTAGAAGGTTGGACTCTCTCAGCAGAGCCCGGCCTTTGAGATCAGCCTTGGCAGAGTCCTCACACTGAGCGTAGGTAAGGGATTGTCAAGTGGGCTCTCAGTCAGGAATCTGGATTTCTGCTCTTAGTTCCTAGCTTGTTATAAGGTCACAGACTAACTTTAAGACAAACAGAAAAACAGATTTCATGCATACATGAATTCTGTCAGTGCAGTCAGGCAACACCAAGATATTTTAAATCTTAACAATTCCCCAATTGTAGAAGTCTAAATTTTCCCATTAAGTGGGAAATCCTGGCCATAAGGTCATTCTGAATACTTGAGGAAGAAAAGGACTATCAATAATACAACAGTCCAGACAACTACTTCTATTTTTACAGGCAAAATGGCAACGTCATTGCTCCTGTAACATGTCTGCCCAGCAATTTTGGGTATTGCCACAGGAATTCCAATAAAACACTATTCTGCCCATGGACAATTTGTAACCAGGAGAAATTCATTAGTTGTAAATTATTTGTGGAGCAGTTGCTTCTACTCATGTTATATACATTGAAAAAAAAATCACCTGTGTTATTATGCAATACGGAAACTACACTGCAGCTATTCTGAACGATCCAGATTT